AGGCTCAGGAGGCTCAGACTCAGAGAGAGTGAGTACAGAAAAGGAGCCACCTCAGCCCAGGGCCCCAGGGGATCCAGGGGTGGAGGAGCAACACATAGAGGACATCTTCACCCAATAATGACATTATGCTACGATTCATTTGTGGTTTTATAGATATATGACGTTCTTGTGGTCACATACACATGACATATATATATATATATGTATGTATGTATGCATGTATGTCTAAGAATGCAGATGGCATTGTCAATTATTATTCATTTATAGGTTTGTTATAAGTAACAAAAAAGGTGGACATACAGGCATACAGCGGGGCCCTGAGTCCATGGTGCTGGAGAAATGACCATTCCTTTCTCTGCGAACAAACGGCGGCTTTCGGGGATTTATGGATTTTCATCCCTAAAACATGTGTTCGATTTTCATCCATATTATCCATAATATTTGCTCAAAGAGTTCCTGCTGACCGTTGACATCCGTTGACCCTTCACCCAGGTACGCTGATTGAAACGGCAGCCCCAGAGTGTGGGCGCACATAGCATTGTGCGTCCAGGTAATCGCCTCCGCCTTGTACCACCGGCAAACTGGATGAGCCACCAGAACCAGGCGTTCCCGGGAACTTGTGGCATTTGTGGTTTTGCCAGCCTGGCGGAAAGACTTGAATCCCATGATTGTTCCCTACAAGTATGGTGCTTTTAACAGCATCTAGAAGCTCCATCATACACAACTCTTTGTGCAGCTTGGAAGGTGTATATATATATATATATATATACTGTGTATACATCACAGCCCCGTCACGCCAGCAACAGCCTCCCGAGCCAGGATACCACTCGATTCCTTGGCTTTGCTTGATCCAACTGCTGGCATCGCTTCATCGAAGCCCTGATTTGGTACCGGATCATAATGGATCTATTCATGGTCCCGAAACGAAGAGAATTCAATGAGGAGATTAGATAAAATGTTTGCCCAAAACTAGGGCATCCCAAAAATCAGTCACTTTAAGACTCGTGCCCTCCAAAAATTTCAGATGATTTGCTGCAACTATACTTGGTCAGAGGTTTCAACCCTCATGACGAATGTGCTCATCATCTAAAATGCGCTTGAAAATCAAACAAACATGTTTGAAACCAGCCAGGTAAAAATAATGTGGTACATGGCTAAGCATCATGGCTAAACCAACAATAATCCATCCGCGCCTTCCAATGACCATAGATTGGCGGGCGGGTTGTCAAATAATCCGCAAACCGTAACTTTGTGTTGTGACTGTATGAAATTGTATGAGTTGGTTTCATATCCCACTGTATATTATATATATACAGTGTAACTATACAACTGATATATATATATATATATCCGCCGACCCCGGCCGACGCAAGGGGGAGCGCGTAAGGGAAGAAGATGGAAGAAAAGGACTTGCAGCAGCCAGCAGGCATACTTGCAGCAGCCAGCAGGCATGTTTGCCTCCGAGGCAGCAGCAGCAGCAGCAGCAGCAGCAGCGAGCAAGAGCAACAGCAACAGAACTAGCAACAGCAGCAACAACAACAACAACAAGAACAACAAGAACAAGAACAAGAACAAGAACAACAACAACAGCAACAACAACAACATACAACATACAACATACAACATACAACATACAACAACAACAACAACAACAACAACAACAACAACAACAACAACAACAACAACAACAACAACAACAACAACAACAACAACAACAACAACAAGAACAAGACCAAGAACAACAACAAGAACAACAAGAACAAGAACAACAACAACAACAACCACAAAGACAAACATAAACCCAAACAACAACAAACAACAATAACAAACAACACCAAACAACAACAAACAACAAGAAACAACAACCAACAACAACAAACCATGACCCTTTGCCAGGGGACTCTCTTGGGTCCCCCTCCCACCGGTCACGTACCTCGATTCCTTGACTCCGGGGTTTTTGTTTCACAATAACAAGAACAACAAGAACAAGAACAACAACAACCACAAAGACAAACATAAACCCAAACAACAACAAACAACAATAACAAACAACACCAAACAACAACAAACAACAAGAAACAACAACCAACAACAACAAACCATGACCCTTTGCCGGGGGACTCTCTTGGGTCCCCCTCCCACCGGTCACGTACCTCGATTCCTTGACTCCGGGGTTTTTGTTTCACCGGTGGGGGCTCCTTCCCGGAGTCTCCTCGAAGTACGTGGGGCTCCTTGGGTTGCCGTGGTGTTTCAGGCTGGCGGGTTCGGCGTTTTGCCGGGTCAGAAGCTGTAAGTTGAAGAGCTAGTTGAAGAGCTAGTTCTCTAGGATTTCAGAAGGGACGTTAGGGAGTTTTTTGGTGCGATTTGGCGGCTTCTTTGTCCTTCAGTGCCATGGTGTTTCAGGCTGGCGGGTCCGGCGTTTTGGCGGCTCAGAAGCTGTACGTTGAAGCGCTAGTTGAAGAGCTAGTTCTCTAGGATTTCAGAAGGGACGTTAGGGAGTTCTTTGGTGCGATTTGGTGGCTTCTTCGTCCCCCACTGCCATGGTGTTTCAGGTTGCCGGGTCCGGCGTTTTGGCGGGTCGTTAGGGAGTTTTTTGGTGCAATTTGGTGGCTTCTTCGTCCTTCACTGCCATGGTGTTTCAGGCTGGCGGGTCCGGCGTTTTGGCGGCTCAGAAGCTGTAAGTTGAAGAGCTAGTTGAAGAGCTAGTTCTCTAGGATTTCAGAAGGGACGTTAGGGAGTTTTTTGGTGCGATTTGGCGGCTTGTTCGTCCTTCACTGCCATGGTGTTTCAGGCTGGCGGGTCCGACCCTAACCTTTCAAATACGTTCAAAACGCAAAAAAAAGCCACTTCGTGCCACGGCAGTACAGCGGTCGGTGTTCTACTACTACTACTACTACTACTACTATTACTGCTACTACTACTACTACTACGACGCAGCTAGCAGCAGCCAGTAGCCAGCAGCCAGTAAGCAGGCAGCCAGTAAGCAGGCAGTAGGTAGACAGCAGCCAGTAAGCAGGCAGCCAGTAAGCAGGCAGCAGGTAGCCAGGCAGCAGGTAGCCAGCAGCAGCAACAGCAGCATCATGGTGTTTTCCCGTCTGACACAGCAGGCTGTTGGGTAGTGTTTGGTTGTTTCGAGTGGCAGCAGCAGCAGCAGCGGCAGCAGCAGCAGCAGCAGGAGCAGCAGCAGCAGGAGCAGCAGCAGCAGCATAGCAGAACAGCAGAAGTCAAATTAGCTCGTGCTTTGCCGTTGCGGATGTGTTACGAAGCCATGCCTTTTGTGATTGGCGGGCTGGTTGGCTGCAAGATGTGGCAAACATGCGTCACAAGCTGAAATCCGCCGACCCCGGCTGCGCAAGGGGGAGCGCGCCAGGGAATAAGACAAGAATTTGCCACCGCCAGCTACTACTACTACTGCTACTACTACTACTACTACTACCACTACTACCACTACTACCACTACTACCACTACTACCACTACTACCACTACTACCACTACTACCACTACCACCACTACTACCACTACTACCACTACTACCCCTACTACCCCTACTACCCCTACTACCCCTACTACCCCTACTACCACTACTACCACTACTCCTAGGTGCACCCCTCCTGCGCCCCTCCCGCAAAAAAAACAAGGAGAGATGTCTATGGCACCCAGCCCAGCTCGCGGGACTTACCCCTCCGCCAACAATCGCCCCAACTCGAAGTCTCCCGGACCCCCAAACTACCTCCAACCCACCCGCCACCCCCCCTCCCCACCCCTCCCCCCCCTCCACCACTACCACCACTACCACTACCACTACTACTACTACTACTACTACTACCGCCACCACCACCACCACCACCACCACTACTACTACTACTACTACTACTCCTACTACTACTCCTACTACTACCGCTGCTGAGCAGCCACCAGCAGCAGCAGCATGGCAGACCAGCAGAAGTCAAATCCGCCGACCCCGGCCGACGGCAAGGGGGAGCGCGTCAGGGCAGAGAGGTTGGGGACAACAAGAAATACAACAACGGTTCTTGGGAAGCTTTCCAAAGTATCTGAACAGCAACAGCAGCAAGCAGCAGGAGGAGGAGAAGGAGGAGGAGGAGGAGATCTAGTGAGATTTCTAGTAGGGTTTCAGAAGGGACGTTTCGGCCTCCGGGGAACCGGTTATTGCGACTGATTTTGCGTCATTTTCGGCACGAAATTAGGTGGTGTTTTGCTGTTTCGGCTGTGTTTCGAAAAAGGTGTCTGGCTGCTGGTTTCTGGCTTTATTAGAGGCAGCAACAGCAGTCAAAATTGGAGATCAAAATTGGGCAAAATTGGCTTTCTAGTAGGGTTTTAGAAGGGACGTTTCGGCCTCCGGGGAACCGGTTATTGCGACTGATTTTGCGTCATTTTCGGCACGAAATTAGGTGGTGTTTTGCTGTTTCGGCTGTGTTTCGAAAAAGGTGTCTGGCTGCTGGTTTCTGGCTTTATTAGAGGCAGCAGCAGCAGTCAAAATTGGAGATCAAAATTGGACAAAATTGGCTTTCTAGTAGGGTTTCAGAAGGGACGTTTCGGCGTCCGGGGAACCTGTTATTGCGACTGATTTTGTGTCATTTTCGGCACGAAATTAGGTGGTGTTTTGCTGTTTCGGCTGTGTTTCGAAAAAGGTGTCTGGCTGCTGGTTTCTGGCTTTATTAGAGGCAGCAGCAGCAGTCAAAATTGGAAATCAAAATTGGACAAAATTGGCTTTCTAGTAGGGTTTCAGAAGGGACGTTTCGGCCTCCGGGGAACCGGTTATTGCGACTGATTTTGCGTCATTTTCGGCACGAAATTTGGTGGTGTTTTGCTGTTTCGGCTGTGTTTCGAAAAAGGTGTCTGGCTGCTGGTTTCTAGCTTTATTAGAGGCAGCAGCAGCAATCAAAATTGGAGATCAAAATTGGAGATCAAAATTGGACAAAATTGGCTTTCTAGTAGGGTTTCAGAAGGGACGTTTCGGCCTCCGGGGAACCGGTTATTGCGACTGATTTTACGTCATTTTCGGCACGAAATTAGGTGGTGTTTTGCTGTTTCGGCTGTGTTTCGAAAAAGGTGTCTGGCTGCTGGTTTCTGGCTTTATTAGAGGCAGCAGCAGCAGTCAAAATTGGAGATCAAAATTGGACAAAATTGGATTTCTAGTAGGGTTTCAGAAGGGACACCACCATCACTACCACCACCACCAGCAGCAGCAAAAGCGGTATTGGACACAGTGCAGGAACATAACGAACACCGTTAGGCTTGCTTCTTTCAAGTGCCATGCGCCATTGCTTCACCATGATGAGGAATATGCTAAGCAACAAACCGAAAAACACACGATGAATCTCAATGGATCGTCCCACAAAGACACTCTCACAACTCACAATACCTGGATTAAGTCCTCTCCAAAACATCTATCACCTCCATTGCTATGCGCTTCTACACCTTTAGCGGCCGCGCCAGACCGAGCCCAAGCTTATTGGTTGGACAACGCTGCTTAGCAGGCAAGATTCCAACTTAAAGGCATTCAGTCGTAATCCAACAGATCATCTTCCTGGTATTAGCTTATGAGCTAGCCACATAAACCAAGCATCTGAACGAAATCTTCCTCCCGTACTAATTTCGATTATAACTGTCGCAGAATCAAGTTAAGATAACACTAACCTGTCGCACGCAATCTAAATCCAGCTCACGTTCCCTTTTGGCGGTGAACAATCTGGATACCCGGGCTCGGCGGCAGGGGCGGCAGTCCTTAAATTCGGCTCCGCCGGCTCCCCACGAGTGGCTTGCCCCACGAGCATCCCAGAGCGACTAGAGCTCTAAGGTAAGGCCGCCCCAA